TTTAAAAAAAGTCAGATTCATAAACCTAAAAAAGCCAACAAAGCTAAAGAAATGCATGCCAGTAGCTAAATATATCACTATTCATCTTGCCTTCTGGTTTAGTTGAAATGGTATGTCTCGTTATTTGTACATTCGTATAACCTGAAACGCATAACAATTATTTGTGTTTCCATTTTATGCTACTTTGTACTTACTCCACTACAATTCAGAGGTAAATCGTGTGCTTTTACTACACTACATGTATGTAGTACCTTTAGTTATTTTGCAGATTTGGATTACTAATGTGAAATAAAATCAACACTTAAATATGACTTAGTTACACCTGGAGTAATTAGACGAGCTACCCTACAGTATACAAAGTAATTAAAACTTGCTGCACCTTTACCAGCTTTAATAAACACATTAAGGCATCAATGATTATAATCAAAAGATATATTGTTCTGAAATGGACAATCTGCATAATGAGTACATTTACTTTTTGTATTTGAAGTATATTTTGATGCTTATACTTTAGTAACATTTTGAATGCAGGACTTTTACTAACAGAGTTTTCCTACACCCGGGTACTTCTACTTTTAATGAAGTACAAGATCTGAGTACTTCTCCAACCTCTGGTAACCAGGCAAAGGCGAAAACGATGTCTCCCTGCACCACTAACCAAACATGGCTCAGTCATAAAAAGGCATTTCATCAAGATTGTACGATCCAACAACAACACAAACATCCTGCTCAGTACTGTCTGTGAACAGATTCATTGCACATCGATGCTGCATACTGTAGATTACTGTCATTGTACGGACAATACTGCATTCATACAAGATACGAGAGGATCGTTGTATGAAATGTATCCTGTAAACTGTGGTTTGTCCATGCATTGATAAAACCACAAGAGGGAGACAGTTTCCTTCTGGAAGTCATGAAATGGTGGCTTAAGGTCAACTAGCCATGGGTCTGAGTGAAATTAAAGCCTTTCATACCTCATTCACACCAACGGTGTTTCGGGGCCGGTTCGGAGCTGGAGCTTGAAAAGCACCGGGTTTTCCTCTTCACACCGCAGCGGAGCGGCCTCTTTGCTCCGGAATCCGGTTCGTTTCAAGCACCAAAAAAGTGTCCGGCCAGAGCAAAAGCACCACATACGTCACGCTTACGTCGAGGCGGGGGCAGATCAACTCCTGAACAACAACAAAAAGCCGGCGTTTTATCCAGCTTGTACACAACGATGGAGAAACTTAACAAGCAGCAGTGGTCCACTGAAGAGACCAGCTACCTACTGGGAATCTGGTCTTCCGAAGAGGTACAGAGGAAGCTGGAGCACAATCGGCCATTGTTGTTGTTGTCGGTGTCAGCTGTGAGGGGTTTTCGTTGGCTTTATGAAGCAGGCACGCAAACGGTTACGTCATGACGCAAACGATGACGCAATGACGCAGCACCAGTCGGACTCTGGGCGGTGTGAAAAGAGCCTCCGCTAAACCGAAGAACCGGTTCTGAACCTAAAAAGCTCTAGCACGGAGCTTGAACCGGAGTTGCGTTGGTGTGAATGAGGTATCAGTGCCTCAGTTTGTTCCAATGGCCACAAAAAGACATCCACTTTGTTTTGAACATATTTGTAATAGCTGCTTGAGAAAAAAGTCCTTTGGGATTAATAAAACATGTCTTTATTTGATTTAACGCGATAGCAATTTAATTAGTGGAAAATAGATGTTATCAAATTCATGTATACATCTAAGAGTTGAACACAATTCTTACAAAGACAAACCCCTAACCCTAACCCAAAAACTGGATCTATGTTGGTAATGTGATGTTTTTGTATTAGTTCAATGCAATATGGATATTCACATCACACATACAGTACAGCAAGTATTCCAAACAGCAAATGTTGAAAGTGTAGGCATCTTTATTTCTCAAACACGTGTAAAACTAACAGAGAAACAATTTCACAAGCTGAACACAGAGGACATTCTAAACTTCTGGTAAACACAATGTTACGATTATTGTGTTATGTCACGTTTTGTATGTCTTGTTTTGGGTGTTTTGCTGTTCTCCCTGTCATGTTTTCCTCTTGTTATATTGTCTGGTCCTTTTCCCTGTGTTTTTCCTCCTGTCGTTAGTTTCCCTGGTGTGTCTAGTTGTCTGATTGTGTTCCCATGGTGCCCCTGTGTTTTCTCCTCCCTCCTCACCTGTCTCTTGTTTGTTTGATTAGTCCTGGGTGTATTTAGGTTCTGCGTTTTCTGTTAGTCTTTGTGAGTTCCTTGAGAGTACTGTTTTGTCGAAGTTTGTTCCAGTAGCCTTGAAATAAAGGTATTTTTTCTGTTCATCTGCATTTGGGTCCTGCTTGCCTCACTCAACCCTGACAGAAGGAACTCACCAAATATGGGCCCAGCAGATCCTTTTGAGCAGGAATTGTTGGATTTTACTTTTTCTTTGGCTACCTGCTCTGATCAATGGATGGGAGCGTCCGGGGTTCAGCAGCGAGAGGCTGCTCTGGCAGCGGCGCACCAGATAACTATGGAGAAACCAGGCTTGGTGAGATTCTTGCCGGGCGGGATTTTGGATTTCCTCATGGTGTGTTATCCCCTGCCTGACAGCCCCAGGCCTACCAACTCCCGTTATGACACCACACGCATCGGTGTGGTCCGTTTGGAGTCAACCCTGGCTTCTGCCCCAGTGTTTGCTACAGTCCAGGAGCCATTCGCTGGTACTCGTCTGGCTTTTGGAGGTCCACGGAGCCTCCAAACGGCTCCTAAAGGAAGGAGTCGCAAGGCCAGGTTAGCAGCACGAGCCCAAAGGGCCATGGTTCCAGAACCGGTTCAGCCCCCAGCAGCCATGGTTACAGACCCAGTTCTGGCCCCAGCAGCCATGGTCCTTGCTCCAGAACCGGTCCCGGCAGCCATGGATTCGGCTCCAGAGCCGGCCCATACAGCCATGTTTCCGGCTCCAGAACCGGACCTTACAACCATGGCTCCGGCTCCAGAGCCGGCCCATTCAGCCATGTTTCCGGCTCCAGAACCGGACCTTACAGCCATGTTTCCGGCTCCAGAACCGGACCTTACAGCCATGTTTCCGGCTTCAGAACCGGACCTTACAGCCATGTTTCCGGCTTCAGAACCGGACCTTACAGCCATGATTCTGGCTTCAATTCCGGCTCCAGAGCCGGCCCATTCAGCCATGTTTCCGGCTCCAGAACCGGACCTTACAGCCATGTTTCCGGCTCCAGAACCGGACCGTACATCCATGTTTCCGTCTCCAGAACCGGACATTACAGCCATGATTCTGGCTTCAATTCCGGCCCCCGCAGCCATGGTTCCAGACCCAGCTCTTGCCCCAGCTGCCATAGTCCCATCTCTTGTCCCTTCTCTAGTCTCTTCTCGAGTTCCCCCTCTAGTCCCTTCCCTAGTCCCTTCCCAAGTCCCTTCCCTAGTCCCTTCCCAAGTCCCTTCCCTAGTCCCTTCTCTAGTCCCTTCTCCAGTCACACCTCTAGTCACTTCTCTAGTCACTTCTCAGGTACCAACTCTAGTCCCTCCTCTAGTCCCTCCTCTAGTCCCAACTATAGTCCCATCTCAAGTTTCCTCTCAAGTCCCCTCTCCAGTTTCCTCTCAAGTCCCCTCTCCAGTTCCCTCTCGAGTCCCCTCTCCAGTTTCCTCTCAAGCCCCCTCTCGAGTCCCCTCTCGAGTCCCCTCTCGAGTCCCCTGTCGAGTTCCCTCTCCACCAGTCCCAACTCAAGTTCCTACTGAAGTGCCGTTGGAGGTTCCGCTGGGGGTCCTGCCAACTCCATGTCTTGTCCCGTTGGGGGTCCCGCCGACTACTCTCCTGCCGGGGGTCCTGCCAACCCTAAGTCCTGTCCCGTTGGGGGTCCCGCCGACTGCGCTTCTGCCGGGGGTCCTGCCAACCCTGTGTCCTGTCCTGTTGGAGGTCCCGCCGACTGCTCTCCTGCCGGGGGTCCTGCCAATCCGGTGTCCTGTCCTGTTGGAGGTCCCGCCGACTGCTCTCCTGCCGGGGGTCCTGCCAATCCGGTGTCCTGTCCCGTTGGGGGTCCCGCCGACTGCCCTCCTGCCGGGGGTCCTGCCAACTCCTGGTCCTCTTCCGTGGGGGATCCTGCCGAGGCCTGTCCCACCGGCGCCGGTTCCTGTCCGGCCGACACCGGGTTCTGCCCGGCCCCCTGAGAGCCACGGTCTTCGCCCTCGAGCCCGGCCCCCTGAGAGCCGCGGTCTTCGCCCTCATGCTCGGCCCCCTGGTCCTTTTCCTCCTGTCGTTAGTTTCCCTGGTGTGTCTAGTTGTCTGATTGTGTTCACCTGGTGCCCCTGTGTTTTCTCCTCCCTCCTCACCTGTCTCTTGTTTGTTTGATTAGTCCTGGGTGTATTTAGGTTCTGTGTTTTCTGTTAGTCTTTGTGAGTTCCTTGTCGTATTTGGACGTTGTTCACGGGGTGAGAGTACTGTTTTGTCGAAGTTTGTTCCAGTAGCCTTGAAATAAAGGTATTTTTTCTGTTCATCTGCATTTGGGTCCTGCTTGCCTCACTCAACCCTGACACACAAGGCACCATCCAAGATCAACAATCAGTTGCATAGTCTGAGGACTGAAGTGTATGGTCAACATTATGTGCAAGGGTACATAAGTATACACGCCTACACACACACACACACACACACCCTGGGTTGGGGAGATCTGCTTTTTAACATACTTTGCCGCCGTTCCGTGGTCCAGCCCCGTCCTGCACTTTTTAACCAGTCTTTTAAAACAGTCTTGTTCTAACAGAGCTTTTATAATGCTTTTAAAAGGGTTTTTATAAGGTCTTTGTTGGGCTATGTTTATGGAGTTTTTTTTAAACACACTCATTTACCGAGAGCCAGTGCACCACGCAGGGCTCCTCCGGAGCCCTACGCTCTTCCATAACCTAACCCAAAAACTGGATCTATGTTGGTAATGTGATGTTTTTTTTTAATTCAATGCAATATGGATATTCACATCACACATACAGTACAGCAAGTATTCCAAACAGCAAATGTTGAACGTTTAGGCATCTTTATTTCTCAAACACGTGTAAAACTAACAGAGAAACGTGATAATTTCACAAGCTGAACACAGAAGACATTCTTAACTTCTGGTAAACACAAGGCACCATCCAAGATCAACAATCAGTTACAAAGTCTGAGGACTGAAGTGAGTGGTCAACATTATGTGCAAGGGTACATAAGTATTCTCTTATCCTGCAATATGTGCTTATATGACACCAACACAAATTTGGCCAAGTCGGTGGTCTGGAAACTAACTTCTCCTGTCAATATTCTTTAGAAGAGGATCCAAGGCAAGACAGCATCATCATAAATACTTTAACATTTGATTAGATTGATAAAATCACAGCAGCAGTGTTTCATTGCAACATAGACAATTACTTCAAATGTCTAGGTAGTACAGTACTCGAAAGAATCAGCTCTGCTCTTTGCAGCCTACAATATTCAATCTGACCCCCTCTTCTCAAACAAACACAGAAGAGGTGCCTTTGGTGAGATGTACAATGGTTCAACATTTCCCGAATATAATTAGGATTCAATAATACAAAAACAGTCTTTTACATCACCACTGAAATAAATCTTAAAAGCTATGGTTATCAGAGACACTGAGATGTGTCTTGGTGACATAGTGAATATTCATCTCTGAGTAGCTTTCGTACAGATTTGACCCTGATGCAGTGGTTGCATTACTTCACCAAACACATACAGTTTGTACTAATACACTAAAATATGCTTCAAGCAGTCCCTCTAGGAGTAAGATTAAGAGCAACATCTTTTTTTCTTCTGATGTCCCTGCATGTGATGTATTTTTCTGGGTCATGTGCATGTTCACATTTTTCCTAGGGCCAGTATTATCTACAAGGGTTAGGCTTCACATATTCCATTTTAACACAGGTCATATGAATACATAAAAAACACATGTTGTCTACACATCTCTAGTTACTATTAAAAGCAGAACAAATAAACGGCTTTACATTTGCTCAGATAAGGTGACATAAACCAGAGTGGGTTTGGTCTCAGTTATTTCAACACACACACACACACAGTTAGAAACAAAGTGCTTGACTTGAGACAGATGCTTAAACAAAATTACAACCAAGACACAGCAAAACTGCTGCGAAATCTACAGAATAGAAATGATTGCATATATGTCTCAGCATCTACTCGTGATTTGTGTACTGAGGTCATTTTATTGTATCAGGAACAAATTCCTTTAAACAATCCGCTCGTATCCTAAAAAAGTCAATAAAGAATGTGCAATTTTCTGCTCAAATATCAGTATTAGAGCATACAAAGTATTTATGATAGGCAAACGTTTTTTGGCTGTAACGTATAAAACACTGATAAACTCACTAGAAAAGCCTTAAATGTATTGTAAAAGGTTTGCTTTGCCTTCTTTTAGATCCAAAGAGACCTAGCTTTGTGCTCATGAAACAAAACTAAATATGCTAAAATACATCTAAAAATGTCCGACATGTACATGATCTGCTGTTTTGATTAAAGATTTGCAAAGTATAAAAACACACAAACACTGCTACAGATACAAGTCAAGGTAACATCTTTTTTTTCTTTTGACTAAAGTGAAAATATTTTGGATAATTCTATGACAGTAGTGATTGAGAATCATAAACCATGGGCTCCATTTTGAGGTAATCAAGATGATCGAGATGAAGCAACTATAAACTCTATTGCTTCAATATGTGAGCAAATATGATCCAAAACATCCAAAATAAGTGTACGTCTCATGGGCTGTGATGTGCAAAATACCCTAACGTCTTCGCCCTCCTTCAAAAGCGTGGTGCTCCTCGTGTGCTAAAATACAAGCAAAACAACAATTACTCACGTCTGTCATTGTCAACCGCCTCAAAATAGCATTATGTCGTTGAAGAAAACACTCACGTTTGTAAAACACAGCTTTAAAAGGGATATTGGGAAGGAGCTCATTGATCCTGCTTAAGATGTTTGAATCGTTAGCACAAGAAGCGTTTCCGTTCCAGACCTGAAACACATCTTCTCTGTCTCTTACGCTGACGCTGACACCCACTACTTCATCATCTGCAAGAATGAGAGCAGATGAGGATGAGATTCATGCAACTTAGTTAAAGTATTTTATATGCAAAATGTAAGGCTCTGAAAAAGCCTCTTGATTTTAACATAACTCAATCAAGAAACTGACCTGAGGGACAATAATCACTGAACTGCTCTCCAATAATAGCCAAAAGCAACTCCTTCCACACAACAGGCTGAAAAACAAAAGACAACATAGTTAAAAGAACATATAAGTAATAAGTAAATTGTACATAAATGTATTGATAATGTCACTTACAGTGCATTCCTTGGGTACTTTCATCTTCCAGACACCACCTTTAGCATTGCTTTCTTCCTCCCTAGATGGAAACAATAAAACAGTGTTACACAAATCAATTAGCTTCAAACACTACGAGCCCATACATGCTGTATTGCTACATTTAAACTTACCAGAGTGGTTTTCTTTCTCCTCTCATCAGATGATAGCTACATCTCATTGGCAAGCTGGAGACGCTGGGTATGTTGTTGTAAACTCTCCAAAAGTTCTAATCCAGGGTCAACGAGGAAGGGAAGACAAAACATGTTTTATTGAGCTCTTTACTGGCACAGGGAGGGCACACTTGGCCGTGTTAATGTATCACATTTGTTACGATGTAGAAAATCACTGCGAAAGGTCTTTTCCTCATTGCCCTTAACCACACACACACTCTTTATCCAACATCGATGTGGTTACGTATTTATGAAGTGGTACTTGAGCTCTATAACAGGTTGCCATACTCACATAATAATAATGGCAGTAATCAGTCATTTGGTAACTATACAGATGTACAGCAGGGGTTACGATGTCAACATTTTTAACACATGCTATGTAGCTCTCTAAACTCGTTATTAGTAAGGAGATAATGACACACACCAATGCCAACAGTGCATTTGAAAACAACATGTATTGCTATTGAACCTTCAGATTTCCCCCCATAATGCTATTGTTTGCTATTGAAATGTGTCAATACCTCCACACTTAATGTAGAGGTTATGAAACTATTCAAGATTGTAAAGACTCTCACCTGGACGGTCTCTACGGTGTAGATTTTCTTCAAGTTTGACTCACATTCAGCTGCTGTAGTTCCTGGGAGAGATCTAACAAAAATAAATAATAATTTATGTGAATTTAGAAGTCAAAAGCTTGTTCAGAATGCAGTTCCTCTTATCTTATCTAGCTTAGCATGGTCCTAATGCATTATTTCCAGTGCTACATTACTCAGACATTTTTCAGCTGTTTGCTGAGCAGGGGGGGGGGGTGTTATCAAATGACAAATGATCCAGTAAACAACACTGACCCCGTTTGAACACAGCACCCTCTGACTTCTACATGCTTGTGTAACTCAACTCACGGTCACCTGTTAACCTCTGTTGCTGTTGCCTAACATTCATTCTGAAATAACTCTTAATATAATAACTTTAAATTGGGAAGTTTTTATAAAGCAATGGCTTGGTAAGTTTTAACTAAACACAAATTTAAACAAAAACAAAAAGTTATAAACAGTCAACAAAAGCAACAGACACATGAGGAGTGACACCATTAGTTTTTAACACATTTCTTATAACGGCTCCGGATGAGCTGACCTTGTTTTAAATAGTTATTATGATTAACCAGTTATTAATAAGTACGCCCTTTTGTTTCCTTTATGATTCTTCCAAGAAGAGCAAGTATGTAGCCTAGGTCAGAGAAAAAACAACAACAAAAGCTGCCATTACAAAATTTCAAGGAACTGTTTGTTGTTATGTTATTATTATGCCATTTAATAAACCAGACAATACCTAAATCGCTGTTAAACACACAATATGTGTTCTGGGTTGGACAAAATGCCGATTTATAGCAGGCCTGATACATTGTGATGTCTCTTCTTTGTTCTCATCAAAAGGTCAGCAACAAAGAGTTCCCCTACTTGACACTCAGGATGACTAATATAACGATCAAGGGAAACAAATACACAAGCAGTGTCTTACCTATCAAGCCAGAAGGTCCAAGAAGAATGTAAAGGCAGAGTGTCGTTGTCATTGTCCCTTAAAATCCTCCCTAAATCTTTGTTGTTGTTGTGAATGTTGTGCTCCAGCAGACTGGGGCTGGATGGTGTGCTCAGTTGTAATGCAGCTACAGGAACTGCCATTGTTTCCTCTTTAAACCCGAAAGACTTCGTAAAAACTAGCCGGTCTCTTGTGCAGATGTTTCACCCGGGCTGTCGTTATATATATAGGTTGGTAGGGTAAAATTAACCCCGATCAGCTGTTGAATCATTGGACGCTCCACCGGTTTGCACCGTCACAACAGAGAAGCGATGACGCTCGCTGACCGTGATCTGTGAGAGACCCAGAAGTTTCTGTCACTGAAGTCCACAGATACTTTAATTGAAACTACATATAGTGCTATAATAATAAACACTATTTCAATGAAGACTTATATTCCGGTTATGTGAGGGCATTCAAATCAAATGCTTTGTTGATCTCAGACAAACCCCCCAGAAAGTGCGCCGGAAGTTGAGGCACATTTCGTAGTGGTCAAATGGCGGTACTACAACTTTCGTGACGTCAGACCCAAAAATACTTTTCCCATTCACTTACATTGGGAAAGAGACGTCTGTACTTCCCCAGATATTTTTTTGTAACTATCAACTACCCAATACAATATATGTACAATATAAATACAATATTTGTATAGCCTTTAGCCGACCAGCGGTGTCAAAAAGTTGTAAAATGCGATAAAAGCTGAATCCAGAGTTATTTTCTCTCTCCATTCTGACTGAACCGAGAGAGGGACATCGGAGGCGGGGCTTAAGGGAAAACTCAAGTGCGCATGCTCTATGGGCCCATGTACTTTAGCTCTCGAAAGGCAGGCTATTTTGGCTTATCGCCACTGAGCAACTTTCATAGGAATGAACGGGGTCCCGCTCCAGTTGTCATCCATGATCTCACCAAGCATTACAACAACATAGTATCACTATTAAAAACAGTATGATGAAAAAACTAATTATGTAACATATATTTAAATGAATTTTGGATTAATAACTGTATTATTATCTTTTTCTTTATGAGAATGTATTTATTTAATGTAATTTCGTTTGACTTTATATGTCTACCCCTGATGTGAATGTTTGTGTACACAAATGATATGATGTTCAAAAATGTTCTTTCATAAAAAGAAAAATCCATGATCTGAGGTTGAACTGCAATCTTCTGTTTATGTGAATACGTCGTTTTGTGACATGCGCAGTCCGCCCTACCAGCAGCTTTGTTGGGTTGCTACATGCTACTGCTAACTAACAAGTATTTCCTGCCTGTGACTGGACACAGCTATGGACATCGACGCGTTATTGGAGGCGTTTCAAGGTAATATTTACAGTTATTTAAACAAAGGCTATGTTTGTGTGAATGATTTTTGAAATGTGTTGTTATGCCTTGAAAGAATGCCTTAATTCTTGCTAAATACATTACGTGCATTACCGTAATTTAGCTTACTAACAGCGATTAGCGTTGAGAATAAGCACCTAGGGACAATCTGATCTGTCTCTGCATGGCCTAGTTAGTGTAATGTTATTCTCCGCAGGAAATACATTCACTGCTTGCTACACTTTTGACCTATTTATTACCGGATTGATAGATTATGTAAACAGCTAGCTGGGTAGCATCACAAAACACAAGCTAACTTGACCAACTTTTGCAAGAACTTTCCAGTTAGGAAACTCAAATTGGTGTTTGACGATTATATGATGTTGTGTTTAACTTGTTTTCCTTGCCTCTCCAGCAAATTATTCACTAAGTAATTGACACGACAATAATTTGATCATTGTAAGAGTAGAATCAATATGCCTGAAGTAGCATGAAATGAAATGTGGTTTAACAGTTTTGCAGAATAATTTCCAGAACAAATTCATATCTAATTGCAGAAAGGGCTTCTGGCTTGTTTTTGAAAAGTTCCACTTTTAGGTTAATGTTAATACAGGTAAAACAATCTTTGGTTCAACTTACTATGTTGTTGTTATTTTGCATGTGGGCACTTACAGAATTTGAGAAGAAAGGCAAGAATGAGACCTGTCCTGAACTAGAGCAATTCTTGGGTCATGTTGCCAAGACGGGGCAACCAATGTGAGTAGTAATTCACACACAGACATCAGATCTACTGTATGAGAAACCTGCCTGTTGGACTCATTCTGATTCTTATCAAGCTTTTTGTTTAATTCTTTCCAAAACTTTTCATTTTTTCGGTATGACATGCAGTCTTGCATTTCCAATATTTTTCCAGGATCTCATGGTCGCAGTTCAAAACGTACTTTGTGTTTAAATTGGAAAAAGTCATGGATGATTTCCACGCTTCAACACCAGAACATAGAGCGCCACATAATCCCAATGTGGACTATGTTCCCTTCGAAGAGATGAAGACGAGGATCTTAAAAATAGTGGATGGTTACCATGGGTGAGTAAAGCTGATAATAAGCCACTTTACAAACTGCAAGCAACCCCCAGGGGTGCCCAACCTTTTTTGAACCGAGAGCTACTTTTAAAGTTGCCAGTCTGCCGAGATCTACCAGTCCAAATAGAGAGGCGTAGCCATTACTGACAGCCTACTACCAGGTAAATACACACTGCTACTTGTATAAATCTGACCTTTGTACAATTAATACTCCATAAAATACTGCAGATCCTTTATCTTACCTCTTTCTAATCTACACACATACAAGTATTTAACTGAAGTGACACAACAGTGTTGTTGATACAGAGTTGGAGTTTATTCACACGTCACTACAGTGGGTAATGTCTTCAAGAAACATTGAACAGTGCTGCCACATATGACACAGGAAAAAAAGAAAAGACTCTGAACCCTTTCTTTGCCATTACAATTAGGCTTACTAATAAGACAACTCAGATCTGAAGCTACTCAGGAATCTGCTGCCAAAGTGCAATAAAAAAGACTAAATTAATAGAATCAACCCCTTTTTTGTTGCATTTTAGTAGAGTATAAAAATAAATGCCTTTAAAATAGGATGCAAGCAACACTAGTTTCTTAACCTGAATTGATGATAGACTATAATCAATTTAAGTTTGCATTCTTATACCATATTGTACAATAATTGTAATGAATAAGTTCAAACAAACTAAAACTTACAGCTGATTAATAACGGTATCCAACTTGAGTTTTTATTATATCAAAAACCTGTTGAAATGCTTCTGTTATTTTTACTGTCCCCCAAAAGCGCGTCGCAGCCTCCAGGAAAGCTTCTTTCACAACTTTGCCGTCTTTGAAAGACTTCATGTGTTTCGCAAGAACGTGACTGACACGATAAGATGCTCTGGTAGCAGCCTTGCTCTTGTTGTTGGGCCTGGTGAAAATGGACTGCTGTGCATTTAGCTGTCCTTTCAGGCCCCTCCCCTTTTGGAGCGTAGGGCAAAATTAGGAGGGAATTCCGTCTCGTAGCGTTTGTGCACTGTTTTGAAATGCCGCTCCTAAATTACCCTTCTTCGATAAAGCCACACTCGCATTGCAGATGAGACAGATGGACTTTGAATTGGAATAGATACAAAAATAATGATCCTCCCACTCGGAGTGAAAATTATATATTTGGTGCTTTTTTGCTTCTGCCATAATTGCTGTGTTGTGTGTGTGTGCGGACTGTCACTCCTGGGGGGTATACTACGAAGCAGGATTTTCACTTAGCCGGCTAAATTCAGGGAAAACTCCGGCTTTCCGGTCCTACGAAGCTGGTTCTCTTTTTAGCAGGCTAGATCTCCATGGTAACTTATGCTAAGCGGCTAACCTGGTCGGGACCAGGTTAGGTTGCAGGCTAAGAGCTCAACTCAGTGAAAGCACTGCCTGCTGACCAATCAGAGCTCAGTGTGCGGAGTTTCAAGCGATCAAGTCATATTACAGGAGAAAGGAAATACAGAAAAGCTGCCGTCGCAGGAAAGACGGCCGGCAAAAATCACCGACTGTGTGAACGTGAACATTAATAGAATATCACCTCCCATCTTCAGAGCAATCTGACTATTATAACATTAGCGTTAAGAAAGCTTACTTAAATATCTGCCACAACATAGGCCTAAGTAACCGGATCAGAGTAACATTAAGTACAGTCCGCGGCATATCACTTCATAATGTATCATATTTTCTTATCTGAGTCAGCTGAGCCCTATCTGGCCGTGCAACACTCACAGTGTCACATACTGTATGCAGAAGTATTATTTTAAGCAACACATTAAGTTGACGAAACACTCGAGACAAATGTAATTAAAGTCAAATCGTGTTTTAGACGGGGCAGTGATATCATAAACCTGTTAATGTACGCATTCAAACACTTTTTCTTTTGCCAGCTGTATTCACCTTGCAGGTGCAGACTATGTGGCTTTTATCCTGGATAAAGTGTTTAAGTCATGGATGTTTAAAGTTTAACTTCTTCATTTTTGACTAGTATTAAAGTTCACTTTTCATTCAGGAAGTATGACGCTGCGCTGTCAGTGCGCTTCTCCATGATTGGTCGAATGCTCCAAATACCACCCCTTTCATGTGAACGCGCACCTAACTAGATAGGAAACGGCTGGCTTGAGCGATCCACTTGATAACCCGCGTCGTAGTACAGTTTAGCGAGAGCGCGTATGTTTTGGATTAGGCCAACCGGCTAACTCAAACATATCCAGGTTAGGTTGAACCAGCTTCGTAGTATAGGCCCCTGGACAACGTCAGCGAAATAGTGTCCACTTCCCACCAGCCACGCCCCCACACATGGGGTCACGCCGGCCAATCACAAAGCTTTGGTGCGTTCAAGTGCATTATTCTGGCACGGGAAGATTATGTTATAGGACATTAACGATAAAACAGAATATTGTTGTTCTATTTTTAGACACATCTCGCGATCGACTGGGAATCTCGCGATCGACTGGGAATCTCCCCGCGATCGACCGGTCGATCGCGATCGACTGGTTGGGCACCCTAGAAAACAGTCAAGATTCATAAATAATGTGTGACCCAGTCTGTTCAGATCGATCCAAGTTGTTTCTCATTCAGCGCTGCCAGGATTTGGCAGTGTTGATGCTGGCTGTAAAACGGCTATGTGTTGCTAATCCTAAAAATATCCCTTGATCACATTTCCAGAATCCCATTCACCATCCAGCGTCTATGTGAACTCCTTATGGACCCCAAGCGCAACTACACAGGGACACACAAGTTTCTCATGGGTTTAGAGAAGGTGAGAAATAAGTGTTTTTTCTAGAGATAAACAATATTCATGCATTTAGTTTGAACTATTTGAAACTTTGAATTAAATTCTAATACACACTATATATTTTTGTAATGTTTTGCAGAATGTAATGGTGGTCAGCTGTATGTACCCAGCATCAGAGTAAGTACATCAGCTGTTACACTTTTGCTCCCTTTTGCTCTGCTGCCTGCAGTGCTTCTGTAAAGCTGCTTCTGGTGCACATTGACAGCTCCCTTGACTTTGTTGATTCAGTCACAATTACAAAGTGA